AAGGAAGATTTTCTTCACGTACCACCTTTGAGCTCTCCGCGTACCACAGGTTGAGAACCGCTGGTGTAGGTGGTACGCAACTACAAAAAGGTTGAGAACCGCTGTTATATTTACAACGTGCGATTGTAATTTGTCTAAGCTAAAAATATCAAATTTAAAAATTAACTAATTGGTCGTAAGCCGAGTAATTATTGGAAGGTGCGTCAAATTCTAATCTATATTCTTAGAATATATTAAGAATATATTGAACAAGGTCTATCGCTGGATACTGCAAAACAACAAGTCCTATGACGTCAATCGAGCAATATAAAAGAGGGATCGAAACAACCACAATTCAGATGAGATCTAGTCATAGAACTGCAAGCAACTTTACCTCACTTTTTGTTAAAATTTATTAAACACTTTGAATGTTAAAATAAATGTATAAAGTTAAAATTTCTTGTCTTATTAATTAAATTTAAATACATCTTCGACTGCACTATTTGAAATTGAGCCGGTAGCACGTAACAACTAAGTGGAAAAATCAGTAGACTTACACATTCAATAATAAAGGTAAGGAATATATTTATTAAACTATAATAAGTAAATCAAAAAAAAATTTATATGGGATAATCAATGGGAGTATGGGATCACTTATCAGTCAATCAACCTCGATCATTTGTCGTGCACAAAATTGTACACGGAGTTAACGCTGTGAAAAATGACTTGCGAAATACCATCATCGTTATACGTCGATAGCGTTTTTGGAAAGGAGGGGATCATCAGGGATTGTACTTGAAATCTCTAGAAACATGTTAAGTTAACAAAATTATTAATTTAGAAGCCCTGAAAATTTAATTATTTGTGGTTACTTGTTGATGAAATAAAACGGTTGCCGTTTAAAAATAAAAGTGTACGCAATGCGATGTTTGAAGAGAGTATAAAAACTTAAAATTAATATGTACAATGTATTATATTATATTATACATATATAGTAAATATATGAAAAATAACTATATATATATATGTATTTATATCTTATACTGATAGAATACGATATACTCGTACGTTACTCGTGTATTCCCATTAAAATAATTGTTTTCATAATATCGGGGGTCTGTGCATCCAAGGTATTTTTCGCAACCCCTGTTATCATGCTCGAATAAGTCATAAAATATGTATTATTCAGTGCTGTGTATGCGCGTGTGTTCGTACGGTTTGAAGCTATAACAGTCTGAATAATATTAAACGTTGCGAATGGATGCAGTTTGGGAATATCCTTTTGGACTCATCTCCCCTCACAGCTGTACCAGGGAACGCACGCGATTTGATCGCGGTCGGATGAAAAATCGTCTGCCAGTTATGGGATCGGCCGGCCGGCGTGCGTGATGCATTGATGTTGAAAATGTTTTCGTTGCGGATCGGATGCGCGATTTGATTTCCATAAAAAAGGTATACACGACCATTTTTCCCTCCGTCGGTTGCACGTCTCGAAATATTTGTCACGTGGGCTCGAATGAAAAATATAAATATCCTCCCGACCCGCGAACCCGAAACCCTGATAATAACAAATGGCCGTACCCAATGGGAAAAAAGGACGTGCGCGTCGTGCAGCTGCACTCGAATGGACTGCGTTGAGTATTTGAGAAACGTCGCGTTATTTTTTGTTATTTTTTTATTTTTATTTCATATTAATGTCGACCGGCCGACTGAAGTATAATTCGAAATATTGAATCGGATATTCCCGTGAGTAATAGATTAATATTTTTACGAAATTGTTGAACACGCGTTACAAGAACCAACTGACAATAGTCATTTGCAACCGAATCAAATGTGAAATACGACCGGGACAGTATCACGTACTAATATTTATAGATAAGATGCATTTAAAGCATTCAATATCATCTCGATTACATGAGTGGCCTGTGTGTTATATTCAACATCCAGCTGTAATATTATAATACACAATCGAGTTTGGACATTTGATGTATTTGTATTTTATACATATCGAAAAATATGTATTTATTACAAAAAAAAAAAAAAAAAAATTGGCTAACGTGTTAATATTCTTAAATTGGAAATACGTTCAAAGTATAGCAGCTATATTTGATTGAGTGCAATCGTGTTACAATCACGTTGGCGAACGTCACTCGAACTGTAAGCAAACCTAAGACGACTTGGCATAAAGGTGGGCAAAAATGAAACCTAGTCGTGTTATATACATCCTCTTAAGGGAAAATGAAAAATAACGATTTTGTGGAGTACTGAACTAAGATTGGACACGGAGATTTTTTGTCTCTATCCATCGCGGATGCACACACGCGCCCATGACATAGTAATAATTTGATGAATCATATGCATATCCAATGTACCGTGGTGGATCTCACGGTATGATGAAAACATATTTTAATTCACAGATTTTAATTCGTTGTCCGCCCAAATTAAACCAGAATTAATAATCGTGTTATTTCAAATATGATTTTTTTTTTTTTTAATTTATATCTCGGTTATAAACATCAAACGTGACGGTTTTTAAACTGTAGTTATCATTTATTTTGGGCGCAGTAAACAGAGGTAAAATCGAAAATATATGAGAGTTAATCTCAGTATCTTATACGGAATTCAAACATGTTTTAAAAATTTTAATAATCCCTACACTAGATTCATCGGTTGCGTTGAAAACTTCGAACATGTTTTACTTGATAATAATAAAGGGAAATAGTAAGTTCTTACACGAGAGCAACAGGTGAACAATTACATATGTTAGTTTCTACATGTGTTGTGATGTGTTAATTCCTACACGCAGTGGCGGTTCTAGCGTATGGGCAGGGTGGGCAGCTGCCCGTATCAAAATTTTTACGTTCACCTTAAAAGGTTCACTGTCATGTTTAAATAAGTAGAGAATTAAGGAATTCAAATATACATTTGTTTTTATCATTTACACTTTTATAAATAAAAAGCGTTTTCTACCCAAGGTTTTATAGGTTAATGTGTGTTATTAGCTAATGTAGTTTTTTCGTTAATACGATAAGCGATAGTCAATTGGTTATCATTGTATTTCGAAATATTTTTGCTATCGTTCGAGTGTCCGACACACATTGCCGTTATTGACGAGCGTCTCGGGAGCAAAATTGAGCGACCAATCAGAGGCGTTCACATTTCTTATCAATATTTGTTTTATATTATCAATATTTTGCTCCCGAGACACTCGTCGTTATTGTCGTTGTCCGATACACACATTTTTCGCACTTTTTTTAAAGTTTGTTTTTTTTCTCTTCTCGTTTCCGTCTGCGTGTATATCACCGATGATTTGATTTGTAAATCAAAATGAAAAATTTTTTAATAAAACTTTCACAATCTAAATCTAAGAAAACGATTGAAGGGGACAAACTAAAATCTCCTTCAATACATACTAATGACTCTACTGACTCTAGCTGTTCTGGTGAAACTTATAATGTTGAAGTTCCACCTCAGCCAGCAACAAGTAAAATATTAGACTAAAGTTTAAATTTTGATCAACCACCAGTACAACCAAACATAGTTTTTCCTTATAAAATAATGGACAAAAATAAACGTTCATTTAATAGTACTTGGTATAAACAGTATCCGTGGATTGAATATTCTGTAAAACATAATGAAATTTATTGTTATTATTGTAGACATTCTTTGCCATCAAGTCAGCATTGTAATCCTAATTCAGGTTGTCTAACAGTGTATGGTTATTCAGACTGGAAACATATTAGTGGCATGGCTAAAGTACATGATAAATGTGATACACATAAATTAGCTTAGACTAAGTATAAATGATATTTAAATTCTAAAACACAAGGTAATGTTTCAACTATGATTAACTCACAATTAAAAATAGAAGTTGAAAGAAATAGGTTAGTATTAAGAAGTTTAATAGGATGTGTCCTTTATTGTGTTAGACACGATATTGGTTTGAGAGGACACAAAGATACTTCCCAAATCATAAATAATTATAGTGATCCACATGAGAATATTGATAATGAAACAGGAAATAATGGGAATTTCTTAGAGCTTGTAAAATTACTAAGTTTTGAAAATGAAACATTTTGTTCAGCTTACGAAGCTTTGCCGAAAAATGCTAAATATACAGGTAAAATAATACAAAATGATATGTTAAGAGCAGCATCAATAGTGGTGGCTGAATATATTTTAAAAGAAGTCAATGAAGGAAGCAAAGTTTATGGATTAATTGTTGATGAAGCCCGTGATGAATCAAAACGAGAACAAATGAGTATTTGTATACGGTATGTACATAATTCTGTAATAAAATAAAAGTTTTTAGGATTTGTTGAGCTTAAAGAATTAAGTGCTAATGTATTGAGCTCTGAAATCAAGTTATTTTTAAATTACTTTGGATTAGATATAAGTAACTGTGTAAGTCAATCATATGATGGAGCATCAGTCATGCCAGGACAGTTCAATGGAGTACAAAAAAAAATTAAAGATATGTCAGGAAATCTGTGTCCATATGTACACTGTCATGCACATAGGTTAAACTTAGTTTTAGTCGATGTTTCAAGAAAAGTGGAAGATTTGCATGAAGTAATAGGTATTTTAGAGGCAATATACGCATTTCAATCATCATCAACTATAAGGCATCAAATATTTTTTATTAAAACTGGAGAAAAAATACCTATGCACTCTAATACACGCTGGGTGTCAAAATTTAAAAGTATTCGCTACTTTGGGACTGTTTTATTGGCATTAAAAGAATTATCAAAAAGTGTGAAATCTAAAGAAGCTGCTGAAGCAAAAGGTCTACTGGTGCAGTTAAAATCTTTTAAAATTATTGTATTAATTTTTTGTTTAGATTATGTTCTGTCAATAGTAAATACTCTATCACTAAGCTTACAATCAGCATCTTTAGATTATAGTTGTTGTGAAAAATTAATCAAGTCAACCGCAGAACAATTAAACAATTTAAGGACAAAAGAAATGTTTACTGACATTTACAATGAAGCTATTACATTAGCAATTTCCACTGGATTATTTCAGACTGCTGATCAACATCTTATAAGAAACCAAAAATGTTCATCATTACTTAATGACTACATAACTTATTCAACAGTTGGAAACAGCAAAAGAGAAAATCAAAACTTAGATTATAAAGAAAGAGAACAAGAATTAAAAGTTATTTTTTTCAACATTTTAGACTGCATGAACAATGAAATGATATTTAGATTTACAGAAAATAATAAAATACTACGAAATATACATGCATGTGATCCAAAGTCCAACGAATTCTTAAATACTGATTTTTAAGTAACATAACAAATATATATCAACCATATAATAATATTGACTTTATAGTAGAAGTATTAAAAAATCAGTGCTTAATTGGGAAATCTTTGTTTTTGGAAGCTTCAACATTGTTTGATGTACATCAACAAATAAGTAATTATGGCGAAGCTTTCACTAACTTGAGAAAAGTAGTTGAATTATATATGGTAATTCCTGTATCCTCAACTAGTGCTGAACGAAGTTTTTCTACAATGCGGCATATTAAGACTTACTTGAGAGCTACAATGCAAAATCCTAGGTTGAGTAACCTTGCTTTATTATCTATAGATAAAGAGAATTCGGAAAAATTGTTAAAAGACCCAATTCCTGCTCTTGATATGTTTGCAAAAATAAAACATAGAAGATTACAATTTCAGATATAGTAAAAATATAGTTTATATAATACTTTATCATTATAATATATTAAATTATTTTTTTATATACCTAAAGAAAAAAGAAAATATATATATATACCTAATTTGAATTAATATTTTTATTTTTTATGTGTGTTAACTGTTAAGGAAAAAACTGTAGCTTAGGAAAATTTAAGATTTAAATTTAGCTTACAGCTTACTTATAAATGTACATAAGGATCTTATAAATTTTTTATCGGATAATAGCAACATTTGGTTTATCTGTGAAAACAAAAGATATTTATTACTTATTATTTACATTATTTACAAAATTACAATTTACAAATTTACCTATGAAAACAAAATAAACAACAATTTATGTTACTTACACGCGTACGATACGCGCCTACATGAAACGGGACGTAACTTGAAACATAAAATATATTGTTTGCCCGTACGAAAATCTAGTCCTAGAACTGTCCCTGTCTACACGAATATAAAAATGAGATGTGTAAGTTCCTAGACAGTAAAAAATGTACGTATATTAGTTCCTACACAACAGTTTATGCTTTGGTGTTTATATTTATTATTAAACTATATTTCATATTTTAAATATAATGATCACCATTATTATAGTAATAATGTTTTCAAAAAAATATTAAAATAATACATTCATAAATAGAGAGGTAATGATAATACAAAATAATAACAAAAAATTATTTTAAGTTTTATGAGGTTTATTTCTACAACTTAATATTTTAACATGATCGTATTGATTAATTTTTTTTGTAGTGTAATTTATAATTTTTTCATATATAAGATCTTTTTCGGCATATTTTTTACTGATAGTTGTTTTTGTGTTAGTATTTTTAATTTTTATATTGTTATATATATTTACTTGAAAAATGTTGAGTTTCAATATTTTTAAAAATATATAGATATAAATTGGTGTTAAAAATTAGAATTAAAATCAGAATGAAAACATTCATATGTGTTTATTGTATATCTTTTAAATAATCTTTTTAGTGTTTTTGTTTTTTTTTGTCGTCTTTTTCAAAAGAATTTAAGATTTTCTCTCATCATGTGAAACAAATCGCGTAGAACGGAAACTGATAAGCTTTCAGTCGTGTAGGAACTAAAATACGTATTATTATACTCGCTAGGTCTTGTGTAGAAACTTGTATTCGCCCTTAATAAAAACTCATAATGGTATGGGTTATTATGTGAGTGATGATAAACGAAAACGGCGATTACACATTTACATATTCCCCTGTCAATAATAACCGTAATAATATTGTGAACATTGCTATATAATTTTGAAAAATATAAAAATTTATATAAATATAATAAGAACACGCATTTATTATTATTAATAGGGCTCGGAAGTTATAGGAGTTAAAAAAGGCAAAATATGCACAACAAAATTTATTACCTATATACAAAAAAATTTATTTTTTATGTTTGGCTTACCAGTTCCGGTTTGTACTTCGCACGACACGCACGTCTCATTTGTATTCCATTAAAAATGCACTAGCGTTTTCGTTCTTCATAACCGATTTGCAGACGGGCAGAACCCATATAGTAGGCAAAATGGTTTATTATCTACTGTCTAGACTAATTGAAGAATTCCTAGTATACGATCGCTAATAATAATTTATACTATACAACTACTACAATAAGCAATAATGAGCTGTCCTATAATAAACAATTAGGTATTATACACACCGTGGTGGGAATAATATTATAAGATATGAAATATATGAATTATAATTGAATTGTCATTTGTTGTGATTGATTGAAAAATTGCAAACGTTTGGTGAAATTTGTTAGTACATTTTAATTTTCCATAAAGAAGTTGAACCTAAACGTCCTAAACACTGAAATATTATTTATTACAATGAATGGTTCAAAAAAAAAGTCGAACATATACTTCTGTTCGAAGTATGCACAAGCCGAAAAGTTTAGCATCTCGGATGAAAAAACTTAGTGCTGTCAGAGGGTAAGTATAAATATATAATAAATAAGTACCTATATAATACAGTAAACTACTAAAGCTGTATCTAAAATTAAAAAATACTGGAAATTAATTTTGACAAATTAGTGTTTTTTTTTTTATTTTTTTTTTTTTTTGGCCAACTACTAATATTAAATGACTAGATACTTAGTAAGTCACGTATATTTATCTATTTACGACATATTTAACAACTAAAAAATGTATAATATACAGAAAAAACACACATCGTTGTAAAAATAATACATAATATATCATATCACTACGCTTAGATTCTAAAATATTTTTCGTACCTATACTTTTATAGCCAAAAAAAGCAATTATTGGATGACATAATAGACTCGGTAAACGATGAAGATGTACAAAATAATATACCGATATCAAATAATGATATACTAAATACTAACGAAATTGACATGTCTGGAATAAATATTCTTTACGACGAGAAAAGTAGGAAACTGCAGTACATCATTTTTCGATGAAAATTGTGTAGACATTCCTTGTGATAAACATTCAACTCCAGTTTCTAATTTTAAAAAGTATACCTATTTATACAATTCAAATTTAAGTATTATTTTAATAATTGTAAAATAATTTATATTATTCCTTATACGTATTAGG